AAAAACAGCTCTTAGGCAAAGTTGTCCGAATGGAACTTCCTTTATACCAATGGAATACGAACGGGAAGAGAAGGATTCGCCCCATGTGTCCTTTGCAAGGAGAGTTTTAGCTATAAAGGCCCGAACAGATGGAACTAAAAAATGTAAAACATCTGAACATTTGCCAGGTAAGGTAGCGAAAGGATTATCTGACGTCTGAAATGATGGAACTAAACAATGGAGCTCATCTGGATATTTGCCATGGAAATAGCGATATAGTAACGAGAGGCTTGGCTTTAAAGGTCTGAAATGATGGATCTAAAGAATGGATCTCTTCGAAACATTTGCCATGGAAATAGCGATAGAGTAAGGGGAGGCTTGGCTTTAAAGGTCTGAACTAATGGAACAAAAGAATGAATCTCATCTGAACATTTGCCATGGAAATAGCATTAAAGTAGCGAGTGGCTTACCTGTAAAGGTCTGAACTGATGGAACTAATGATTGTAGCTAATCTGAATCTTTGTCATGTATATAGCAATAGAATAGCGAGTGTCTTAGTTGTAAATGTCTGAAATGACGGAATTAGCTCATCCTAAAAATCCAACCCTGCTACATTACCTCCCTCAACGCAGTAAAAGAAAGGTTGGTGAAACATCAACGTCAGCGTGGAAGTAGTCGCGGGGAGCAGGCAATTTTTGGATTGGTCTAAGGTTGGCTCTCATCAGAAAGACCTTTTCTTACATCTTGCCATCGGAGGCAGACGAGTACATAAGCTTTAAGTGCCAAAGCATTCCATGTTGACAACAAGTACAGAACAGGTTTTCTTAGTAAGATAAGCATGTCCAGATCCCTTGATCAATTACAGCATCAATAAAAATATCTTTATGCATATCTTCACGAACTGTTTTAACGCAGAAAGTATATATTCTCTAGTCCCGAGGTTTTGCAATAAAAAGAGAAAGATTTGTGAAATATAACGGGGAAAGAAGGCCTAGAGAATTTAATAATCACAGGACAAGAAGATAATTAACTAGAATGTTATCGAATTAACGAGTTTGTTTCAAAGAATGGCAAAACAGGAAGTTGTGGAGAGCCATAATCTCCTACTTAACGAGTGTGAATTAACTGCAGAACTGGAACAAAGTTGTATATTAAAGAAGAAAAATTGCTTTTAGGAACAAGTGAGAGGATGTTGTGGAGAGCCATCATCGCCTACTTGACGAGCTTGCATTAATTGCAAAACAAGAACATAGAGGGATACTAAAATGGCAAAAGTTACTTGAAGGAACAAAAAAAAGAAGTTGTGGAGGTCCATGTTTACCTACTTTACGAATTTGAATTAAAAGAAGAACAGGAACATAAAATAATAGTAAATAGGCAAAAGTTACTTAGAGGGACAAAAATAGGAAGCTGTGGAGAGATATGATCACCTACTTAAAGAGTGTGAATCAATGACAGAACATGAAGACAGGGATGGTAAACGAATGATAATAAACATATGGAATGATCAGGAACTTCAGACATTGGAGTAAAAACATCAAAAACCATCAATGATGCCAATCGTTGTCACCAACATTAGTCTTAGATCTTGAAAATGATTAAAAAAATGCAGAAAATTCCCAAACTAGTTCGGTAAATTTATGGTAATTTTATATATTGTATACATTTTCCATTAGTAAACGCCAGAATCAGCTGAGAGACTTATCTCTCAGACTTTCACAATATATAAACTGTTATGGGGTTTGAAGAATGTATGTAGAAACCAATGAGGATCGAACACTCTATTCCGTCATAAGTGATCTAGCAAGACATAAGAAGCCGTTACTATACAACGAAAGTATTTTTAGTCCTAAAGAGAATGTTTCTTCATCATTAGGGTAGATTATTTTTGGAACGGTGAAGTTGAACTCAATTTGAAAGTTGGGGTTTGACATGTCAAATAATGTTACAAAACATTTTTTAGAAATCATTACTTATTTTTTCTAGGAAACGGGTTTAAAAATTAAGTTGAGATCCAGTTGGAATTACTTTCTGGTTAACAGCGAAAGCCGTATAGCAAAGCCTTATAACGATTTATAATTTACTGAAACTTTACAAATTGTATATGGACAAGATGCACATTTTTACTAAATCATTGTGCCATCATATAAAACCTTCATTTACTTGAAAGGCAAATTATACTGAAAAATTTAGCTATATCATAATGTAATATGTTAAACAATGTTCTAGTTTTACAGTGATTTTCAATAAACAGAGCAAATTTAAAACATTTTCCCTTATAATTTTTGCCCAGCAGTTTTGTGCATGGTATTACATATCCCAGGGATAGGCAAACTTTTCAGTGCAAAGGCCATATTCAAAACTTCATAATTTTATTTGGTCCGCATAGTATATTAACCCAAGATATCTAATATTTAAAATAGATAAAAAAGGCTTTTAAAGAAAGAAATGGAATTAATTTTTATTAATTAATATTTTAAAGTACTGTAGAAGATTCATATGAAACGCATTTATTTGAAAGACAAATTAACTCAGTTTAAAGTACTTTAAAGAAAAAATATTAATAAGTATATTTAAGTTGAAGATTTACATGAAACACATTTGAAAGACAAAATAACATTGTTCTAAACCTAGAACACTAACCATGGATATATAGTACCCAGCGCAAATTTTCTATTTTTAATTACAATTTCCAGTACTTGATTTTCTTACCTAAATATGTTTTTCAGTTCCTATTAATGTTAACTCAAAGTACAAAGGTTGAAGTGCCTGCATGTAAAATATTTCAAATAAAGATTTATATTTAATATTTTTTGATATTTTCAAAATCGGGTATGATATACCCATGGTTAGTCTTGGTGTAACTTTAATTCATGGTTAGTGTTCTAGAGTTAAGAAAAAATATTTTATTTATTAATATTATAAAGTAGAAAACATTTTTTTTTCAAATTACCAAATTAACTCTGCGTAAAGAAATAAAAACAAAACAATTCTTACTAATATTTTAAAGTACAAACTTCAAATAAAACACTTATATAGTAACTAAATTTAAAGAAAAAATTAATTTAGATTTTAAAATGGAAACGTCGAGAGATTTATTTTTAAAAGAAAGTAACTCAACCACAGAAAGATCTCAAGGAAAATAATGGATCTGACTCCAGTCATTTGCCAGTTTGTTAAAAGTAGGCTTCAAATTGAGTGTAACAATTTGTCGGAGTTATCTCCTCCTTAGTTCCTTAATGCTTCACCAAGGATCTCTCTCTCCCCTTGCTATAAATACTGGGTGACCTTTCGCCTCGATCTCTTTTTTTCCCCTCGGGCCTTGGACCGTATCCACCTCGCGTGGAGGTGAGGTAATTCTTTCTCTTCTTTCTTCATTTCAGCTAATACCAATATGTGAGCTCTCACCAATACAGCGTTTCCCAAATTCTGGGAACACGCTAAGAACAATACCAATACACGTACGTACGAACACACACCACAATGCAAACACATAATATTCACCACACAGACTCAATGTAACTGTCCATGTACTTGTAACTTGTTGTTAATACATATAATTGTTTATATATAATTATCGGTCTTGTTTGTTTTCTTTGTCTACTTTGAAAATTAAAATACAACATTCTCATGTAGCTGGACCGGCTATCAGGAAATTTTAACCCACGTTTTTTTTTTACATCTTCAACCCACGGTCTTCTACAAATTATTTGGCGTTGCTTGGTAATTTTCGGTTTCAAATTTACTAACATTTGGCGAGCTGCATGAATTCTTTTGTCGGACCGCTTGTAGCCCGCGGACCGTAGTCTACCCACCCTCTTATATACACAATTATCTTTTTTTTTATATTAATTATGATCTAGCAAATGATCTCACAGATCGTATTCATTGAGTAACCTTTTTTGTAATCTTTTACAATTTTGTACACAATTTTATTTATCGAATACAGTAAAAATAACTATATTTTGCTTGTGGTGATTCATAATTAATTCTGGTTTCAATATATTTTCCATTCAATGCATCTAATACAAAAGATATCAACTTATTCTTGAAAAAGATATCAACTTATTCTTGAAATAGTAAAATTTTGGAGTTAGTTTTCCATTCAATGTATCTAATACAAAAGATATCAACTTATTCTTGAAAAAGATATCAACTTATTCTTGAAATAGTAAAATTTTGGAGTTAGTTTTCCATTCAATGTATCTAATACAAAATATATCAACTTATTCTTGAAAAAGATATCAACTTATTCTTGAAATAGTAAAATTTTGGAGTTAGTTTGTAAACAAAAACCTAATTAGTTATTTCCGCACATTTTTAAAAACTTTCCTTAAAAGTAAATACTCAAAAATTGCTCACATCTACTTTTTAGAGTCAGTATATCTACCAAGAAACCCCATCTTTCACACTACAATGTAGATTATACCAAATAAAGTGAAAAATCGTCTGCTCTTTTCATCACTGATATATTTTTCCAGATAAAAATAAGCTGGAACAAACTAATCACCAACCATCAAGTTCTCACATAGAGATCTAAACTATTAGAAATTTAAATTACACGGGTCAGCTGCTGAAGATGCCAACCTTTATTTTGAAAGCAAAAATGACACTGTCGACACAACTGTGAAACGGAGTAGAACAAGTGTTTCCATCTTGATGACGAAGCGGTTTTTCGACAGAGAGAGTCGATATTCGAGCCACAGAACCCGCTCGGATTTTCTAATCATTAGCGCGAGTTGCACATCTCTCTTTGTAATACAATCATCGCAAATAAAGGCCGAATGGCAAAACACCTGCTGTTCCTAATTAACCTTGGTTTACCAAATGTCGGTCCGGATCTCCTATGTCCGACAACAATGAGAGAAGCGCGGAAATACGATCTCTTCTGGTCAGATGCCCGAAAGAAGAGTCGGGGGGGGGGTAAAACAAGGGATAAAGAGTTAAATCCTGGAAAGCTAATAACAATTTAACGATGAGCAAGGGTTACATTAAACAGGGATAATCTTTAAGGATTGCTGTCAGGAAATAAATCCTGGATATAAGTGAAGAAGAAGAAGAGGAAGAAGAAAGAAAGAAAGAAAGAAAGGGAACGTAATATTAAAAGAATTCAAGGAGAAATAAAGGTGAAGAAGGCGAAGAAGAATGGGGAAGAAGAGCAGAAGAAGAAGAAGAAGATCAAGAAGAAGAAAAAAAAACAAGAAGAAAAGGAGGAAAAGAAAAGAAGAAGAAAAAAGAAGAAATAATTGAAGTCGAAGAGCAGAAGAAAAGGGGGGATGAATAAAAGAAGAAGAAGAAGAAGAATAAGAACAAGAAAAAGAAGAAAAGAAGAAGAAAAAGTAGAAATAATTGAGGAGGAAGAGCAGAAGAAAAGAAGAAGAAGAAGAAGAAGAAGAAGAAGAAGAAGAAGAAACAATAAGAAAAAGAAAAGAAGAAAAAGAAGAAATAATTGAGGTCGAAGAGCAGAAGAAAAGGGGGAGGAATAGAAGAAGAAGAAGAAGAAGAAGAAGAAGAAGAAGAAGAAGAAGAAGAAGAAATAATGTGAAGATTCTAAGCAAAAGAAATCAACCAAGATGGAGAGAGCGAAGAAAGCGGAAGAAGAAAAGAAGTAGAAAATGTTAATGGTGACTATAATGATATTTCACAAGAAAAAGAAGACAAATGAGAAAGAAGGGAAAGATAAGATGTTTATGAAAAGAATCGGAGTAGAAAGAAAGAAAGAAAGAAAGAAAGAAAGAAAGAAAGAAAGAAAGAAAGAAAAGCAAACAAAATAAGAAACTAACAAAGAAATAAAATATGAAACATTTCAAGGAAAACACGTTGAAAAAAAATTCAAAGGTGAAGATAAATAGAAAAAGAAAAGAAACGTGAGTTGGAAGAAGAAGAAGAAGAAGAAGAAGAAGAAGAAGAAGAAGAAGAAGAAGAAGAAGGTAGTTGAAAAGTTGTAAAGAAACGAATTCGGGATTTGGAAGAAGAAGACGACAATCGTTAGGAAACGAATTCGGAATTTAGTAGACGACAACAACTGAGAAGTTGCAAGGAAACGAATTCGGTATTTGGAAGAAGAAGATGACAACTGAGAACGAACGAAAAATCTGAAACGATATGGTTAATATTAACCGTTTTTTATAGAAGGAAACGGTTAATATTACCATTCCTGGCTGCCCAGTCACTGAAGTCAGTATTCAATGACCGAGCAAACAATTCGGTAGAAATTCATAAAACTTTCGGTAGATATTTATAAAACCTTTCCAGTATTGAGAAGAGCTTCCTTACTTAAGTTTCCTTTGGAATAGTGTTAAATATCTTTATTGTGATCATATCATTATTTTCCCTTCGAGTTACATGCGTTATCCATTTTAGATGCTGTTACTATTGGAAGTTATGAAATGATGGGATTTCATTTATTTGGTAGAGATCTTTGTGATTCTGTATCGCTACTCCACGGAATTCGAAGAAGGTTGGTCCACGCCCAGAGCTATAGTTTCCATTCGCTTTTCTGTAAGAGGGGTTGTATAAAATAGAACGAATGTTCTTCTATCCTAAGCTTGCTCCTTTGCTAGCTCAGCAATCAATCGGCACAAACATAAGAACCGAAAATTCTGGAGAGCCGCGATCGCAGTTGAGCGAGAGACCAAGAAAACTCCTTGTAACACCAAAGTTGAACTGAAGGCAAGATTTATGGCAGCATTCACCAACTTAAACAAGGAGACCGTACAGAAGAATTGCATGAGATTCCGCAGTCGTCTGGAGGCCTTGGTTGAAGTTAATGATCATAGCGTCTGTCCTCAACTGGGAATTCAGCGTGTCTTGGGAAAATAGACCTAGTGCAGCCAATCCTTCTCCAGGTCAAACCCGCCTTCCATGTTGAAAGTCCATCTTGATTATTTCCGTCCTGGTCATTGAATTTAATCTAGGGATCCGTATGGCGATTCTGTGTTAGCTATTTAAACCAGTCAACGGGATTATGCTAGATTTCTTTTCATCCTAGAAAAATATTTATCCACGGGTAACCAAGACCAACACACACAAGCTTCTTACATATACCAACCGATTTCTCAGATACATCCTCAATATCAAGTGGACAAAAGTCTTCTCTAACGACCAACTGAGTAATAGGACCAGACAAGCCCCAGTTGACATCTAGAAACTGAAATAGGGATGGCTTGTCTACGCACTCTACAAGCCTGGCAGGCCATTGACTAGAATTCACAGGGGAAGCGAAAAGTGGATCGAGCAAAACAGACTGGGCGTTGACGTAGAGGAGAAGGCAGCTGGTACGACATTGGCCAAGTTGAAGAGGATCGCCTGGAACCACGCCCGTTGGAGAGGTGTTGATGCGTCCCTATGCCCTCCAAGGAATTAAGAGGCTTAAAGAAAGAACACATGGCTTTCCTTTAATTATGCTTGGTGCCAAACAACCCTACTTACCAGAAAAGCAGGATTTGGTTTTGTCACCAGTGGCCATGTGGCATATATTAATGGTTTCATGTTATCGGTTCTACTCAAGTACGCTATAATACTAATACTAACAGTCTGCATGCTTAACTTGCTACTCGGTATATATCCGAGCTCCACACAGACGTGTGTTTTTCCCAGCCCGCAGGCCCGGGCAAAAATTCTCCGCAGACCCAGTAATAACGCGGTCAGGTTTGTCTACCTCCCCAGACGAAACTCTACCCTTTGGCATAGCCTCGTCTGCGTTCCTCTTTGCTCGAAGGCAGAGAGTTCGATAAGCAGTAGGTGCTTATCACCCGGCTAAGACCTAATGCTAACTCGGCATTTACCCGAGCTTCTCACAGCGCGGGATGTGGCATAAGGCCGGTTTAACGTGGGCTTTTCCGAGCCCGTAGGCCCGAGCAAAAATTCCCTGTAGACCCCATTATAACGGAATCGGGTTAGTCTACCCCCCTCATACAGGACTCTACCGTTCGGTATAGCCTCGTTTGGTTCAACTCTGCCCGAAGGAAAAGAAATCGACAAGCACTAAGACCTAATGCATTATTTAATTGCTATTCATTGCTTCATGGTGATGTTTCTTATAATTCAAATAATTTAACCCTGTCTGTGAAATGATCACATATTTGTAACCTGTGTGAGAATCGGTTTGTTTAAAGCAGCTATGGATTCCGAGATAAGCCTCCGGACCGGTTTTTTTACAATGACGATCACAGTTTATGTGGATATGCTAGAAAGATAACAGTTAATCCTAAACATAATCGGATTAGAATTATAGCGTTATGGTAAACATCGTCTTTAGGAGTCGGTTCCATAGAGCGGTGCTTCGCGGGAAGTTGCTCGAGTTGAACTTAAATATCAAAAATGGAAAACGAATCGAATGAGGGTAGTTTGTTACAATGGGCGTGGCATGGCCGGGCTTAGCCGTGAAGATTACTATTATTAAAACTAAGGAATGATATCCTGGGCATGACGATAAACTACATCCTACAGCAAGGACGCTGATCAAAAGGTTTTGAGGAGCGGAGAACCACCTCTTAATTTCTGGTGTTTCCAGGTTCACCCTGACCTTGGGTGGTACATTTTAAGGTCCCAGCTGTGGGCATATTAAGTAATCCTCAAACTTATGTGATAACACTATGAAGGTGTAAAAATAGGTTTTAATACTAGCAATGCATTTTTGTAAAAAAATTATTACAAGTAATACATTTTTCAAGAAAAGATTATTATCAGTAATACATTTTTTTAAATAAAACTACCGACAATAACAATCTTGTCGGTATTAAATAAGCCATTGAAGTTGATATGCCGTGAAAAAAACCAAACCAATAGATAGATAGATAGATAGATAGATAGATAGATAGATAGATAGATAGATAAAAAATATTACCATCAATAAAATCTTGTCGGCATTAAATAACCCATTGAGGTTGATATGCTGTAAAACAAACCAAACCAATAGATAGATAGATAGATAGATAGATAGATAGATAGATAGATAGATAGATAGATAGATAAATAAAAATATTACCATCAATAAAATCTTGTCGGCATTAAATAACCCATTGATGTTGATATGCTGTAAAACAAACCAAACCAAACCAATATATATTGAGATAGATAGATAAAAATATTACCATCAATAAAATCTTGTCGATATTAAATAACTCATTGAAGTTGATATGCCGTAAAACAAACCAAAGCAATATATACTGAGATAGATAGATAGATAGATAGATAGATAGATAGATAGATAGATAGATAGATAGATAAAAAATATTACCATCAATAAAATCTTGTCGATATTAAATAACCCATTGAAGTTGATATGCCGTAAAACAAGCCAAACTAATATATACTGAGATAGATAGATAGATAGATAGATAGATAGATAGATAGATAGATAAAAAATATTACCATCAATAAAAATCTTGTCGGCATCAAATAACCCATTGAGGGTGATATGCCGTAAAACAAAACAAACCATACCAATATATAGTGAAATAGATAGATAAAAAAAAATATCACCAGCAATAAAACATCTTGTCAGCATTAAATAAGACATTGAGGTTGATATGCCGTGAAAACAATATACTGAGATAGATAGATAGATAGATAGATAGATAGATAGATAGATAGATAGATAGATAGATAAAAAATATTACCATCAATAAAATCTTGTCGGCATTAAATAACCCATTGAGGTTGATATGCTGTAAAACAAACCAAACCAAACCAATATATATTGAGATAGATAGATAAAAAATATTACCATCAATAAAATCTTATCGATATTAAATAAACCATTGAAGTTGATATTCCGTAAAACAAACCAAACCAATATATACTGAGATAGATAGATAGATAGATAGATAGATAGATAGATAGATAGATAGATAGATAAAAAATATTACCATCAATAAAGATCTTGTCGGCATCAAATAACTCATTGAGGGTGATATGCCGTAAAACAAAACAAACCATACCAATATATATTGAAATAGATAGATAAAAAAATATCACCAGCAATAAAACATCTTGTCAGCATTAAATAAGACATTGAGGTTGATATGCCGTGAAAAAAAAATATACTCAAATAGATAGATAGATAGATAGATAGATAGATAGATCATGAATATGCTTAGATAGATAGATAGATAGATAGATAGATAGATAGATAGATAGATAGATAGATAGATAATGAATATGCTTAGATAGATAGATAGATAGATAGATAGATAGATAGATAGATAGATAGATAAAAAAAAATATTATCAGCAATAAGAATCTTGTCAGGATTAAATAACCCATTGAGGTTAATATGCTATAAAACAAAACAAGCCAGACCAAGCTAAGGAATGTAGGTCATGTGAGCATTTGCCATTGAAACATCGTGAGAGGCTTGCGATGTTTTGGTTGTGCGAAACATGTTGTAGGGTGGAAAATAATTTGTCACCCACAAGGACGCGAAGGTGCTTTTAGAATCTATCGAAACTGGGAGGTGAACACTGACTGTTGAACGGCGAGACCTACATATGCAATAAGAGTCAATGTCGTCCATGAAGAGAAGATATGACTCTGTTTGGGTTGGTGACAAAATGGAGGAATTCTTTTTAATGTAGTGTGTAACGAGTTTCATAGAAAAAAAAACGTGGTAAACTTTTCTACACACCAAATAATTTTCTTGAATAAAGGCCAGCGGAAACATTTCTTTGCCAACAAAATAAATATTTCCATTAGATGAGAGCAAACAGAAACAGCAATAAATTTATTCGACAACATTAAGCTTTGGTCAAGGTCACAAGTGAGGGAGAGAACAAAAAAAAAACATTTTCCAAGGCAACCCCGGATAATCTAATAGCATTAACAATCTTGTATGTTAATGGCTATCTCGGCTATCTTTGAATCGACTGGCTGATTTCAAACTCATATTCAGCTACGAGAGTCTTGTACGGTTGGCTAAGGAAACTAATGATTAGTTGGATAGATAGATAGATAGATAGATAGATAGATAGATAGATAGATAGATATAAAGAAAGAAAGAAAAAGAATTAGCTAGATAGGCAAAGACTGAGATAGATAGATACATAGATAGACGGACAGATAAAGACTGAGATAGATAGATAGATAGATAGATAGATAGATAGAAAAAGAATGAGATATATAGAAAGATAGATAGATAGATAAAAAGAAAAAGAATGAGCTAGATAGGCAAAGACTGAGATAGATAGATAGATAGATAGATAGATAGATAGATAGATAATGACTGACATAGACAGGCAGACTGATATATATATATATATATATATATATATATATATATATAGATAGATAGATAGATAGATAGATAGGTAGACAGAAAAAGACTGAATTAGATAGATAGATAGATAGATAGATAGTGGTCATAAGATCCACTGTGTGTATTGTGACTGTCAATTTGGTCTGAAGATTGCTATGAGGCGTGGAATTGTCAATTAACATTCAATATTCATTCCACAGTATATAGCTATAAACCTCCATTCATCATGTTGTTCTCTCCTCCTCCCCCTCTCTTTCTCTTCTCTCTCTCTCTCTCTCTCTCTCTCTATATATATATATATATATATATATATATATATATATATATATATATATATATATACAGGGTTAATAAAAATATTTTAAAAATTTTAAAGCATGTTCCTCACACCAAAATAAGAAAAAAGTCCATATAAACATGTTTTTAAATTCTTCGTCTTTGAGTTAAGTTTAAAGAAGGTTTCGGATAGATTTGGATTGTGCCGTCATGATACTAGGTTACATTTTTTCATTTATGTACATTTATGGCTAGTCAGTCCTCAACGTTTAACGCGTGTAGTAGTGAATTAAGGAATTGTAATGGACGCGAGGCTGCACGGCCGTATCCGATTGCGTTCTCAGACCGAAGGCCCGCCGAATCATCCAAATTTGCTACTGTTCATCGTCACTTTGCTGAGACAGGATCCTTGGCACCACAAACTATGGATCGAGGAAGACCGACATCCGCTCGTACGCCTGCCCACGGAAAAAACACTCCAAAAGCTGTCAGAAATGATCCAGATATCAGGACATGTCAAATGGTCCTAGCATGCCATACATCTCATAGTACCGCATTGAGGGTACTCTCAAGATCAGCTCATGTACCCCGATTATTTGCAAACGTGTGCAGGGTCTTTCGCCCTCGGATCATTCACCACTGGAAAAAATTTTCAGATAGTTTATTGCAGAAACAACCGATTTTTTTTTCTTATCTCTTCCGTCTTGTTTATACATGAGGCAACATTTGGAAGAAATGGATATAACAAATTTACACAATCAACATTTGTGAGCGGATCGGAATCCCATTGTGCAATACAGACTTAACACCAGCGTCGGTTTACGATTACTCCGTGGGCTAGAATTGTATGTGACTGTCTGGTAGGTCCATATGTTCTCCCAGTATGTCTTATAAAAGCTGTCTAGAGGGTAATTATTTCGAATACACTTCCAGTCCTGCTAGGGGATGTACTCCTGCTAAGACAAAAATGCATGTGATTCCTGGTGAGGATCCAGCACATTTTAGTTGCATTGTTCGCGATACACTGGCTGATATATACCACGAAAGATAGTTAGGAGCGGTTCTATGACCTGCGCATTTCTCGACCGCCATCCTTTGGGGTTTTGTTTGTGGGACCACCTAAAACAATTGGCTTACTCATCAGAAATTAATAATGCAGAAACGCTTCATCAACGTGTCATGGGGGGTATACGAAACCATTCGACACCGTGTGGGAGTAAATGGAATTGTCCGCCAATCGATGATCCAACGGGTGCGTATGTGTGTAGAAGCAAGCGGAGGACATTTTTTTTAAAATTGTTATGGGTTATAGTGCTGAGGTACAACGATGACGTTTTGGATATATGTTTATATGGACATTTTACCTTGTTTTGGTGTCAGGACATGCCTCAAAAGTTTGGGAAAGTATTTTTATACACGCTGTATATATATAAAAATATAGTTTTAAAGTATGCTATCACTATGGATTAAAGTTTTCAATAGCAGGCATAGTAATGGGCGTAGCCGAATAGTTACAACGTCCTGACCATGAGACCCGGGTTCGAATCTCATTATGGTCGATTAATCAGGCAGTTCGATTAAATTGATGTTATTGGCCTGAGAAGGTGATCCCAGTGCGAGGCACCTTTGCAAAGTGCCTAAAACCTATCATATATATATATATATATATATATATATATATATATATATATATATATGTACATACATACATACACCCCCCACACACACACACACATATATATATATATATATATATATATATATATATATATTTATATATATATATAGTTAAATTCCCAGATGAATTCTGTGGACAAGACAGATTGGTATCAAATGACAATTGGAAAAAATCTTACATTTTGCCGACGCGTTTCGTCTTCCGAATAAATGGTTTTAAAAGTTTCAGATTAATTAACGATCCTACACTAAATTTCATCATATAATTTTATAATTATTGGTTAGTATAAATTCTTTTTAATATTACTCGTATTTTAAAGATCTGAATAGCTATTATAACATGATTTCGTTGTCAAGCTTTTGAATCTTTCTATACTTCGTTTTTGATTGGTTATTCTAGCTTTTGTAACAATGTTTCCCCCTAGTGTAGGATCGTTAATTAATCTGAAACTTTTAAAACCATTTATTTTATCTTCAACAACATCACTTGATAAGACACCGAGTGTGTTGAAACAAAATGGGTATTTTTGTAGTGATTTTATAACATACTTATGTTATAATTTTTTTTTTTTTTAAATAATAATTATATCTGGTCTACTTTGTATTGAGCACTCTTTTAAGAATAGTAATTGTGGGTTATTGGAATTCATTCCGTATATACCAATTATATACTTGGGTACACCGGATTATATATTTTACTGCTCTTTTTTTATATATATATATATATATATATATATATATATATATATATATATATTTTCGCATGATCAAAAAGTTATATTAGTTATTACCCCGTTAAGCAGTTGATCGACTGATTTTTATTTTAACTGTGTCGTTAGAGAAATTACAAACGAATAATTTATTGATTATATGAATTATATTGATTAATATATTGATTATATGAATAATTCATCGATTGATATATTGCCGAACGTGTTCATATACCAGAAATCCATTCATATGGGACGCATTCGTTCCCAAGCGGATCATTTCTACATTTTAAATCAAAAAGCAAGAACGCCAAGCTCCGAATTTAACCAAATATTAGAATTCACCAATTCTGTTTCCTAGAGAAATGTTCTGTTCTGAAATAAAATTTTGCATGGCAGAATTGACCAAAGAAAAACTGAGGAAAATTAGTTTATCTTTTTTTTTTTTTTCTTATTTTCTAAATTAATTGTTGTGATAAAATGTTTACTTTATTGTCATTATATTATTGTTGTTTTTATCGCAAAGCGTTGCGTTGATATAATCTTCAACCGCTAAATAAATAAACGATAATAAGATGTAATAAAAGTCGTACTAAAATAACAATCATAATGGAAAGTGTATCGACCCAGAAGACGTGATGGACTACAGACGATACGAGTAAACGTGTACAGCGTAGGCAGCCCAAAAGCCAGAATAAAACAATAATAGATTAAAAATTCATTATGAAATAATTGTAATAAGGAATAATATATAAGGTTGTCACACATGAATTGAGGCATTTTTTGGTTGATTGCTCATCCGGTTGTCTCACAAAGTAAAGTCCTTAGTAAATAAAAAAATCTTGACATATTCCTAACTCTTTTCCGAAAATTAAAGTGGGGAAACATAAGGTCAGAATTAATTTTCCACCCCTCTTTTTAAGTTTCGGAAAACAGGTTAAGACTGTTTTTAAAT